CCCCCCCCTCGACTTTTTTCACTTTGATGTTCCTTCCCCACTAAAGGGCTAATGATAACTATCAAAACACCTGCCATTTAATATAAATAAATTTTTCCCAACAAACCTAATTGAATTGACCGTAATTTTGCCTACTTTATGGGGAAACCTAGATGGCTACCACTTCGAAATCTTACCAAAACAGCCAACCACCACCCCCCCCCCAATAGTTCCGTTTGTGATTTTGACCTTTTGATGCTATGACACCAACGTAATTAAAGGAATTTCCTTTCTAGGTAATAATAATTTAAGTAGGATTGAAGTAAACAATCCAAGTTTTCGAAACAAACTGGTAGGAAATTTAGAGTTTAACAATTACGTTTTCGTAGTCAATGGTCATATTAACCCCCCTCAAATGTTAACAAAATATCACTTCGGTGAAAAATTATTACTTTTTTTTCAATTTTATATTTCGTGCTCGTTTAAACTGTGCTGGATATCGAGTAGCGACTTACCTTCATTTGCCCATTATAAGACTTCCGATATAAATCCTTTGTTCTTTAGAGTCACTCTCGCTAACCCACATTCTTTTACAATTGCTATTCTACAAAATTTGCTTCACACCCGAATATGCATAGCTACCCCCCAGTAGAAACTGATTGGCTGTTGCTACCAATAGTCGTTAATTGACTACAGACTGCGCCACCTCGTTGAAGTTTTCAGACATGAATGTTCAAAAACGTGAAACTGAGCACCACGCAATGAGGTCTTAAAAACAACTATTTAAAGTCTAACACGAAAAATGGCAATCTTGATCAACAAAAATGCCACTACGTCTCATCAGGTACAATTATGCCTTTTATAGGGAGGTCGAGAGCGTTTAAAAGTCGAAATAAAAATGCCCTTCTTATGTTAATTTCTTATAAAATTTGATCTGTTAACAAAATTAATTTAAAATTTTAATAACTGAATGGTGACAATTTCACAAACACAAAATAACGCCCGATATACAAAATAGATTTGATTTAGCCCCAAAACTTAGCCCTGGACGTCACATCGACTACACAGACCCGTTCTCAAGGTAAGAATTCATGATTAAATTTACTCAAAAGAGAGATGGCTTAGCGTTTTTTTTCACGCCAGTAATTCATTTATTGATTAAATATTCAACATGGTCTCCACAATGACACCCTTTAAAATCATCAACAAAGTAGACTTACCTAAGACGAATTTCCTTGCCAAAGAGTTCTGACTTGTCAAGATTGCTAGTTCCACCAACTCTAGTATGCTTCATCAGGCGAGGAAGAAAACCTGGGAACATAATTAGGGCGTCCTGAAGCTGAAATAAAATTAACATTACTTATTTATTGCAAGTAGAGGGGTTGTTTGATAATATGACGATAGGCTCACCATTTTATCAATTTCTTCCGAATCCTTTATATCAGCTGGCGGCTTCCTCCTTCGCTGACGATTTCTCTGAGACCATCTAGCAAGGGGTATGGAAAAGGCAAAATTGGGGAAGAGATACAAGTTGCGCTTTGGCTAAACAGTTGTCGAAATTAAAACAATTAGACAATAATATAAAGGCAGGAAGAGCGATGAGATTTGACCAAACTTACATTCCAAGATTCATAGAGTTCAATTAGAAATTCATAATCCTCAGCGGAAATTGCAAAGAAATCAATTGCAAGAAGAATAGCAAGCGGATCTGCATCTGGATTCAAACTAAATTATGATACAAAAAAAATTATGGTAGAGAAAGAAAAAAACGATTTTCACTTATTGTTATCAACTTACAGAAGCAACGCCTTACTATACTCCAGAGCAGCCCTGTAACAACTTCGGGATGAAACGTAGAAAATGTATCGGAAAATGGCAAAAAAGAGAGACCTATTTTCTTGAATGCGATAATCCAGGCGACAAGACCTGGAGGAAGAAAAACTGAATCCCAAGTGGAATGTTATTTGATAAGCATATAAGACTCGTTCTAAAAGATCAGAAGCAACTTCTGATTGATCTTGATGCTTTAAGTAGTCGCTTAGTGAAAGAAGAGTATCGATGTGATAAGGTGCTTTAGATAGAAACATCTAAAAGATAAATAATCAGCAATAAGCATATAAATAAAAGAGAGAGCAATAATAAAGACTACAAACCGAGAGAAGTTGAGGATCTAAGGCATCTTGAAGGACATAGAAAGCCTTCTGTTGTTTAGAGTATTCTTTGTCATGCGCGAAAGCAAAGGAACCATCATTAGACTGTTTCATTTCTAAACCACACCTTTCAAAACGTGGCCATTGGGGATTAGGACGAACTAATTGGCCAAAAGGCAATGGATTGCGTATTTTGTTTTCATTGGAAGAAGATCCAAACTTTCTGTTCAATTCTGCTCTGTAATCGAGGAATTTCCTATTGACAGAAAGCAATTCAGAACTAGAAATAGGGGAATTGCTCTTCTTCGAAGTACCCGGCTGAGAAATAGATTTTTGTACAGCTTCGAATAGAGCATCGTCATCTGTGGGTTCAGGTTTCAAGGGAGATTTATTCTTATTTTTCCCTCTTCTATTTTTCTTGCGTTTGGCAGACTGTGATGGATTCGGCCGAGCTTCCTGTTCAGATTCACTGTGTGATGAGGGAACAATTGGTTCAGAAGGCATCGAAATATCAAACTAAATGTAATTAGGTCACTTGAGTTCGGTACTATGCAGAATTATACCATAGAAAAGACTGATTGCTTTGGTTTCAAAATAACCTCTTCGTCAGCTTCGTCAGCATCTCCCTCTGTCACATCTTTAGAGGACAACACCTTTTTAAGTGCACGATGTGACATTTCGCCAACCAGAGAAGTAAAAAGAGATAGGCTTAGAGAAGTTACAGAATTTTGAAGGTCATAGTGTCATCAACAAAATAAATATGGATAGATGAAAGAGAACGCCGCAAAATTAATTAATTTATTATTTTCAAGTGGAAATATTTAATTTTAGCGAGACAACGTGAAAATCTATTCTTTGATTTCATTTATATATTTAATGGTTTTTATTCAAATGGTCTATTATTGGTCTATATGATCTAACCCATAACAATTTCAGAAGTCAGATAATGCTCCATCTGCTTAGCTCACTTATGAACCTTATTTAAAGCGCTTGTATATGATTCAAATAAATACTTAAGAGGTTCTCCAGATCATTATATTATAGCGACAATTTTCAGCTTAAATTTGTGATCGTATCGAAGATGCGCTCACAGGCTAATGCGATTGGGTCAACTGGGAATTCGCTTTTAATTCAATATTTCAAGGCCAACAGTCACGTTAGGTTCAATGACCATGACAGTAATTTCAAATGTAAAAATGAAAATTATATTATCTTAAATACTTCCATTTCGACATGTCATGGTATTTGTTTAATGGTTAGGATTTAGTATAATGGTTTAAGCTTTCCAAATAACGGATTATTTTAAAATTCATGCGAATATTAATAGCCGGATATTCAGTCCAAATACATGGAGATTTCTACCGAACAAATTAGGCATGGATAGAATCGTAGGATGTATTTTTAGTAACGCAAGTACCCAAAATGCTCCTCTGTTGATCGTTGGGAAGTGCCTCTTCCATGGAAATTTGCATCTACTACGTGTTACCTAAACTACCAGTTGCTTTCTAATTATTCCCCTAAATCACTTTGTTTGATATACCCTTTTTGGCTCCAGATATGTAAATTAAGTTGATTATTTGATGGTGAGTGTGCCATCATACTCCATGAGAGTTTCTTTGCCTAGGCCTTTGATAGCGCTTACTGAGAGGATAATTGAAAATTAATACTGAGCCTATTTGTATAGTGTTCAGTGTCACTTTTTTCATTTACTCAATCACTGTCTTGAACCAATTTGAGTCTACATTATGCTATTATCTATATTCGTTAATTTTACTTTTATGGTTCTTTGTATATCAATAGCTGCCCTTAACTACCCTTTGCTTTGCTTATGACTTCACCATTATCTCGCATCTAAATCTGTCATATCGACCTTTATTCCATTCTTCCAAATTTATTTTCCCTCTTAATGAGATTTCTTGCTTCCTTTTAACAGTTAGAAACCAGTCAGTATCCCTGCCTTTCTTCAATTTTGTTGCCTTTACTAGACTCAAGTTGTCCTAATTAGTTTAAAAAATTTAATATAGCTCTATTTCTACCATCTGACAAATTTATTGGAAAATTAATTAATTGCTTTTCGGCATATTTCAAGCCAAACATGCTGCTTCTTTCAATCTTTCAATAAAAGAGGTCGATAGATTATTTCATCACTTTAATTACTCATGTATAAGTAGTGTACATTAGCTATACTATCGACTACTCGAACCCAGTGTTTCAGTAAACTTCTCCGGTTAGCATGTGTACTTTTTCATGCGAATGTCACCGTAATTTCGTCCAGTCATTTGGTGAGAAAATGGCTGCCCACTATTTCCAGAATCATAGGCGTATTGAGGAAGTTGAGGCATTGGCAATTGAGGTTGAGCCTGATGAGGGTAGCGGTTTGGAGGATTTAAGTTCGGAACCGGATAATGCACTCCGATTAATCCTTGATCAATATTTCCATTTGGAAGGGCTAGATGGCGATTTGAATCGGAAGTAAACGTTGGATTATTCGCATATTGTGGCCCTGGCCGTTCAACACTAGGAGCTACAAGTGGAAGTCATCACATTTTCAATCAAATTTTCCTAGAATGCTTAAGAAGATACGTCAATGTTATCCCACCTTCGAATTGACGCGAAGTGTATTTGATTGATGAACGCGAGGGGATTTTTCGGAAAGATGAAGCCCTTCTATGCATTCTAGCAACTTCAAGTGCTGAAGGTCGTTTAGAGTCACTTGATCGACTACGTATCACAGGTCCACCGATGGCGTTGCCCGTGTTTCCGGAAGCATCAGGCGGAGGTGAAGCTCTTACCACAGCTGGGAGACAAGGTGCATATGCCATGGCAGCCATTCGACACTCTTTTGTAGCCAGTAAACATTGAGAAGGTAGGGGCGGTGGTGGCAAATGCAGAGCTGATTCTGCCGCAAAGTCTCGAGTGCTTGAACGCGCCATGGAAAAACGAAATTCTCTCGCTACTTCTTCGCTAAAAGGGCGCTGAAATGAAATTCAGTGGTTAGTCATTATTTCTTCCAGTTTTGAGAGTAGTAATGAATGACCTGTACCTTGGTGATCTGAGCACGTCGGTATACTTTGTAGAGAAATTCTTGCAGACTGATCATAACGGAGGCTCCCAGACCGATCAGAATCATAACAAAACATCCCCCCACTTGTTCGAGACCTAGTGAACTAGTATCTTTCGATTTACTCGATTTTTCACTGCAGTTTCGCGTCTTATTGAAATTTCGCCACCATTTCAAACGAATTTGCTCCAAATTTTGAAGAGCCTGAAGTTTTAGAATCTCCACCGAGAAGGCATCACGATATTTGGAACCTAGCAAAAGCAATAATAAGAGAATCACAAATTTACTAATTACTAAATTGATTATTCGAAGTGTATCAACTTCAACAGCTTGCGAAAGGTAGCGCCTATATTGGCTAATGGATTGAGCATTTCAAACTTATGTCACTATTTTCTATTAATAACAAATTGTTATATGCACGAAGACGACATATTGATTTCATGAAATTCTCTTTAATGACCTCCATTCATTGGCTCTTCCCTTTCTTCAAATGAAACAATTCCCCTGCATTGAATTCACAAAAAAGTCAAAAATTATCAAAAGTGACTTAATAGGAAGAGTTTTGATTCCAAGGTGTAGGCTTCATGTATTTACTAAGGGCAGCCACCGAGTATCGACGCCCTACACAAGTTCAGCCAAAGTTACTGCTTTAAGAAAAAAAATCAAGTTTGAAGTATTGCACTCCCAGAGAACGAGGCAACGCATTTATAGAAAAAAACGGTGATTTCACGGGGTCAGGGTTTACTGAAATGTCCGCAAATCTGTCGTCTGAGCATAGCCATCTAGCTTGGACTGTCTCTGAGGTTTGCGATGGTCAGCCACCATAGTTTCCAGTATGACACAGTTTTTCCTACCCATTGGTCAGCGTGTAAATCAGGGGTTTGAGTTACCTCCCGATGTCCTGGTTTGCACGTATACTAAACTAACCTTGCTCTTTCAATCAAATTGGCCAAAATTTCAATGTCCTCCATTCATGGCATCACGAAACGCAGAGATCTATTAAATTAAAATCTCGGAGACACTTAAATTCATATACTTTTCGAGATCAAGTTGATGGGCTCTATATCACCCGTCCAGACTTTAAGAGAATTAAAGGAGGTGACGAATAACGATTATTCGACCAGTTTGTTCCTTGTAAGTTTTACATTGAATTAGGAGGGGTGTGCGATAGACTTACCTCCACGTGGTGCACCCTGGGCAACGTATTCTCATACGGCAAAAAAGTCTATTAATTGGCAGTTGACTTCTCACTTCAAACTACCATCACCTCACTCAATGCCATATTCGACTATTTCCACAGTACTCACCTCACTTTTTTCTACCTTTGTGTTTGTCTCTTACATCTTTGCAACACTCTTCTGTTCCCCCCCTCTCGACTTTTTTTCACTTTGATGTTCTTTCCCCTCTGTGAAGCCTGAAGTCAACTAAAGGGCTAATGATAACCAGCAAGACGCCTGCCATTTGATATAAATAACATTGAATTAGGAATTCGGAAAGCATATCAGGGTATGGTTGTGAACTACAGGAATCAATCACAAAAATGGAAAAATTTAACCAGTGACTGAGAGATGTTCGTAAACACTTTTTTGTATTTTCAAACTCTCATCAACTTCCATGAATGAACTTTAATGGATTAGGTAAGGTGGGGATTGACTAGTTTTACCATTCGGCCTCCCAGAGGGTAAATTTCATTTCGAATTCCAACAGAGATCAGGAAAGCAGAAAGAAGACATCTGTTTTTGTAGTGAACTAGTTTAGATTATGGGATGCAAATTATACGAAACATTGAACTAGACAAAACTGTAAAAGTGGCGATTCACATCTATCGGGGTCAGAGCACAACCAGAAGACGTAACTAGGAAGTCGATAGACACAGTATCTAGCCGAACAGAACAGAGGACAAGTGTCTAAGAACAACTAGGAACGGTACTATTTGAAAGAAAGATTCTTTACAAATTTATCCCCCCAATTTGTGCTGTTCAGATGCTGTTCCACTACCCCTGTTTATGCTACTCTTCTTTTGTCAACTCCTCCTATAGCTACCTCTGTTCTCCCGCCTTCCGCCCCCCCTCATCAACAATCGATTTATTCATAATCTACCATATTCTCCGAGTTTATTGTCGTCGATTTGCAGGCCATCACCTTGAGATGTCGATTATTGGCTTATTATCAAAGAAAAACTCACTTTCGTGCAGTATATAGTAATTCAAATAATTTATGCAAACCTCTCCACGCGCTAATATTATTCAGTTCTCTGCTGTGCACTCAAAGAACAAGTCGACATACACATGAATGAATTTTCGAGGAGTTCTTAAAGCTGTCATCCTCAGTCGGCACATCCGCTTCTCCCTCAAATCCCCCCCCCCCTTTCCTGGGAAATAAACAGCGCGATGACATGGAGCACAACTAAACCTCCTCACCCCTCCTCATAACTTATGATTCTTATCTCGAAGTGCCTTGACCAAAAATTGGCTCGAATTATCTGGAAATTCGACAGTTTAGACAATTTATACCCTCTGGGCTATGAAATATCATTACTTCAGCTTCTATGGATGTACTAGCGAGGTAGTGTACTTTACTTTTGTGAAAGATTATTTTCGATTCAAGGCTCAACCACATGGCAGGGGCTATTTATTAATCGGTAAAAAAAGTGTCTAACCTTGTGGGAATCCAATTCCATATCCCTTTGAGTCGAGATTGTCGCCAATCTGTGTGAGGTCGCAATTGCGTTGAGTGTAGTACTCATTCATTGTGGACTCGAGGATGTAGGCATATCCTCCCATTTTTACCTTCTCAATTGCCTGAGCAGCATTATTGATCATCACGCCTTTGTGACTGGACATGAATTGCCACATACGCTGGTAGATCGATTGGTTTGATTTCTATAAACACAATACAAATTACACCACTTATTGCAGTGCTATTGTTGGAATAACAAGAACTGAAGTCACTGGAAACTAGCAGTAGACATCCCAATGTAAGTAGTCTCAATTTAAGAGGAATACAAGGAGTTGAGTGTAAACCATAGTCTATTGCGCAACAATAGTTCCAATACGAGAGAGTGGAAGTGTATGTAGAGAGATTGAAACAAAGAGGAAAAGAACGAGAACTGTGCTACTAGGTAATTGAATGTGAGTGGAAATGCAACAACGATTGGGAGAGTATGGAAGGAGGTGTAACTTTAAGAGAAAGGTGACAATTAATTGAAAACTTGGACCGTGGACATTTCAAAGCCCTCACAAGCGGTCAACTTACCGAAAAGAATGCCGCGGAAGAGCCACCACTTCGGGTTCCATACTTAATTTTCGTCTGTTTGGCAAGATCATTGACATCTTCAATTGGGGCCTGAAGTCTCTCGACTGTCAGGAAGGCAGCCAAGTTTGCAGTGTATGAGGATATGATTATTAGGGTAAAGAACCACCAGAAGCCGGCAATGATTCGCGTCGATGTCGCTCGAGGTAGAATGTCAGAACCTAGGATTTTTAAAAAACAGATCGATTTTAGTGACCTCTAGTAACTTAAGTTATGAAAAATTATGCAAACTCTTATCAGCTAGTATTGCAGTTTTTGGTAAAAAGATATGTAAAGTTGGTTTCAGTCTTTCAACTATTCATGTACTCAGTAAGTTTCGAATTCACTTGAGATTCACGAAGACGAACCCCGAAATACGAGTTTTGAATGAGTAGGTCACTGATACGGCGATTTACGTTAATTAATTTGGCAAGAGTGCGCGATAGCTTACCTCCACGTGGTACACCCTGGGCAGCGTGTACTCATACGGCAAAAGTCTATAAACCGTCAATTGACTTAAAAACTAACATGATCCGACTCTATGTCATTATCGACTACTTTCATGGCACTCACTTTACCCTTTATCCACCTTTGTGTCTGTCCATTTTAATCTGTGAATCAATCTTCTGTTACTCACCCCTCGACTTAATGTGACTTTGATGTTCCTCCCCCCCTGTGAAGCCTGAAGTCAACTAAAGGACTAATGATAACCATCAAAACGCCTGTCATAATACAAAAATTTCCTCGTGATATAATTGCTTGCCGACCAGATTCGAAACAACTCGATTTGAATCGTACTTTTGGCACTAAAATAGATGCATTTTAAAATTTAAGCTTTCATTCAAGCTATTTGCTATTACTATGTGAAGAACCCTCCCCCAAAACATGAAGCTAATTCAAGGTCTCTTCAAGGGAGCTTATTCGTGGTTTAAAAGAAGGATATTTAAACGTATTCAAAATTGCCACTCAGTAGAGAAATTAAAAAAATTATTGATTGAAATATTATTTTCACTCTAAATTTAAACAACGTCCAGTAAATGCTATGCGTAATTTCAATCTGTAATAGGCCAAATTATTGATTATTTTTCTGAGAAGGTAGACAATTAACTTGAAGAAATGGATTCGCATGCCATGACCAGCCCACAAATAAAATTTGAATATGTGCTTGTGTTAATTAATGTCGTATAGTCATAACTATCTATATTTCCTAAAGTATTTGAAAGATTCAAATTCAATCTAAGATTAGCTTTTTAGGCGATTATTCGGTGATTATAATTTTGGTCAATTCCCTTTTCACATTTCACCCATCCACATTATTTTTAAAGCATTTAGATTACACGAATTGCAAAGTTGCTAGTTTAAATAGCCGTAATCTTAAGCCAATTAGAAGAGACATTTAAACTGTATAACTCTTTCCTTGATTTAAGGTTTAATAAATTGCAACACATCATACTATTTTTGTTGGCGAATCCAATATAATATTTTGGCTACCCTTTGAGAACTACTTAAGACTTGCTGTTGAAAAGCCGCAGCTGCAGTTATTGACCAATCATTTATCACCAAAATTCAAGCCTAGATAAACAAATTTATTTTGCTGATCGTTTGAGCCTTGAGTCACCTAATTTCCTCTTTGCTAGGTCTGAGGGGTGTGAAATATTCATTTGTTTACCAGGGCAACAACTTTTAATCTCAGAATAGCCTCAGAAAAATCTACTTCCTGGTCGCCAATTGCGATACGTAGAAAATATGCAGATATGAAGCAAATAGAGTTCCTCATTCAGCCTGAATAGAATACAAAAAGAAATACCACGCGATTGAAATGCTTGCCTTGCTGCATAAGAGAGCCAATAGTAAACCAAAGGCTATTGAGCATATTGAAGTTGTTTTTGAGTAGAGGAGAGTCGATATTGCAGGGATGAGGGTTTGACCATTCATAGGGGCTGAATCGGGCCACAAAGAATAGGGCCACACTGACGCCCACGTAGGCAATCACAACGTAACCCCAAACCTGTAATCAGCAATACACGATTATGAACGCAGTAATATAGACTAGTATAACAAGAAGGGGGGGGGGATTCGATCATGTGTGACTATGGTTTATTCTTCTACATACAGGTGACTTAACAAAGCCGTTACTGATAACATCGTTTCTCCAATATCCAGCTACTGCAACTTTGAGTCTAGCCAGATGGTTTGAAGTAAATTCACTACTCAAAGTAATGGTCAGTTCAGGTTAGTACAAATCTAAATAATCAGCATGATATAAATTATATCCCAATTTGGGGTGTGCGATAGACTTACCTCCACGTGGTGCACCCTGGGCAACGTATACTCATACGGCAAAAACGTCATTAAACCGGCAGTCGACTTCTGACTTCAGTCTACCATCACCCCACTGTATGCCATATTCGACTACTACACAGTACTCACCTCACCTTTTCTCTACCTTTGTGTCTGTCTGTCTCTTTACCATCTGTGCATCATTATTCCGTCCCTCCTCTCGACGGTTTGTTACTTTGATGTTCCTTCCCCTCTATGAAGCCTGAAGTCAACTAAAGTGTTGATGATAACTATTAAAATACCTGCCATTTGATATAAATAAATATACCAATTTAAATAAAACTTGAGCAATCATTGCAGTCGTTTTCTGGTCATTTAGAAGAAAAGCCTGCTTCGAGCTCTCTCTAGCAAATAAAGTACACATTTCTTCAACCACAGGATGGACCTTTTTTTAAGAGGATGTTGAGGGAATTGGAGATATTCCAAGTTGATTATGCAAATTAGATTTTCCACAACGGTTTTGCCTCCCACTTGGGGGTTTATTTAAATTTAAATTTCTTGGACAAAATAAATTCCACAGAGTTTAGTAAAAATTAAAATAGAACAAACGAGTTTATTTACCCTAAACACGTTGAAAAGATTTCAAAGCTAAGTATTTAAAATATTTTTTGTCACACAGTTTGAAAAATAAAAAATTCACTATTTGCTAGACACCCCGAGTACAATTTTAACACATTTTCACGATTGCCAAATTCATAAGAAGTAGAAGCATTTAACATTATTTCCCTTTTAAATCTAAAGCTATCCTAAATTGGCACATTTCAAGATATGTAATTTCATTTACAAAGCTATTTAGGCGAATGGTCACTCATTAGATTAAATTCCTGTAGCTTACTGAAGGCCAATGGAAACCCCATTTCACACCTCTAGTTGAGATCAAGATTAGGACATTACACTTTTCAATTTTTGCCTTAGGACACCCATGATCTAGAATTTAAATAGATAGCGCAATAAAAAACATTAGAAGGACTAATATTTAAGTTAGCTTATAGCCATGCCTAATTAGCTAACCGATAGATTAATGTTTACTTTAAAGTACAATATTATTGGCTAACAAGACAGCCAATAAGAAATCGCATGCCAAAATTTAAATAAATAAGCGCACCTTCTTAATAAAATACATATTGTGACTTGCTGATCATTTCCCTACATCCAACTGGTTCTGATAAACTGGGTAACCATGGTGATTAAATACTAATATGACAGAAACTGAGAGAAGTTTGGCTTTGAAGTGAAAAGCAAGATTACATTAGACAAAATTGACCCGCGGAAAATGAGATAAATAATGTGATTAACCAAGTTTCTGTCAAATTAATTGAAAACATGATATAATGGACCCAATTTTTTTGTGGATGTTTTGAAGGACAGAGTTAGTATGTGTAGGTAGCGTATTGGCAAGCTTAACAGTCATGTTCGAGTTCCATCAACTAACCAATAGCAACAGTTAAGTCTGACTAAGAGAAATGATTCCAGAGGCCAATTTGCGGACAATTTCATAACTAAGGTTTGAAATTATTATTGTTTTTGATATTTACAAAAAACTCTATCATTTTAATGAAATGGCTGAGGACTTCCAGTTCCTTCAAGTATTAAAATAATATTAATTAATAATTTATCTATATATATATATATGAAAAAGACTTACCGCTGGCGAAAGAGGCCGAAGAAACGAGAAGAGGTCAGGCTTCTTCTCCTCAGGCTTCTTGAAGATAATGCTGATGCCCAAATTCATGAATGGTGTTGTAAAATCGATAACTCTCTCGCGTTCGTAGTTAATCGTTAGCATTGCGACGGCCAAATCAGCTTTCTAAAACGAGTAAAATTGGTCATGGAATTTTATTTCTCATAGAAAATTATTTTAATAAGAGATTGAATACCACAATAACTGGACGAAATTGCCCATTTCCAAGTCAATCTACTGGTGAAATACAGTTTTTTAAACTTAATTTTAAGCTGAGTCTTTGATACCGGTAACAACACAATGGTCCATCACTCAACATTATAATAGTTTTTGTATGTCGTATTTTATATTCCATATTTCTAGTTGCTTATTTCGTCGATATTAAAACTATGGTAGAAACGTTTTACGGTTGTTCGAAGATAGACTCTTTTCCTTCTTTGTGAAAATATGTTGATTTTTCACTTTTATAACTCCTTGATTCGACCCCACTGTCACGTCTGTAAATAGTTAGTTAAATTGATTTTCGAATTTGGGTTGTAGAGCTTTCTCTTATTGGGTTCTATAGTTCATATTGCATTATCGGAACAATTTCCCTCAAAGACCTAACTTATTGATTTCATCGATCGCCATGCAAATTATCTTGGCTGGCATGGCGTCAAATTGAATTTACCGCCATCCACGTTTCTGATTTAGTTTGTATAAACGATATGGAAAACGTGACTTTGTAAACATTCCAAAGTGCCTTCGGCTTCTTTGAAAGGAAGAAAAATTATTCTGGCAGTTAAAAGTAACGGCAGATCCTTATAGAGCATTACTGAGAAGTGGGATTAAGATTTTACTCCTATTTTTTCCAAGTGTTTGCATGGTTTCCGGGAAAAAAGTTATATCACTTTTGACTTTTTTTAAAATGAACGCAAGATCAAATTCAACTAACTTGGGATTGAAGTTCTCCGATGATTCCATCCCACACCTCTTTTCCATTTATCATTTTCCCAACTCCATAGTTGCCATCAGCAACCGGATGAATTGTATAATTGAAACCCAATGAAGTGGATATTTCGTCCAATAGGTCGATGCAAAATCCATACCAATGGTCCTTGTTGATAGATTTCACCTCTCCTGGGGGTCCTTTGTACATCATGAAGGGAACTTCCTGCAGAAAAAAATGTACTTCCACGTATAGAAGGGGCTCCAGCCTAATTCGTCATTGGATATCACGTTAGAGCTTGCTAGTGTTGCTTATGAACGTCAGCTAAGAAATTCTGTACCTATCATCTTTTTTATTGGTCAAAGCGATTGGCAAATTTGATCACTGAAAGTGTGCTGATTGCGAATCTAACCCATGACCTTTGATAGTGCGTACTAACAACGTGCTTGCCGAATCACATATCAAGCAGATTATAGGCCACCAAATAAATTGCTAGTGAAAAATTTTATTTTGACAGGATTAATGGAGCACGCAAATTAGTGCTTAGATTAACTTGGAGGCCAGTCATGGTGGGAGAAGAGGCAGGGAGGGGGGGGGGGGTTGGCATACTGATATATGCTCATCTTTTTGAGTTTTAAGAAGTTATTGGCCATTGTGACAAGGTGCCCGCTTTTACGCTTCTTCAACTAACGCCCGTACTTTTTCAAGCTAGCTCAATTTATCAACGCGATAACCATTAAATGCATTGTACATTAGGTCATCAGTTTCTTAAAAAGGACAATAAAGAGCAGGTCATACCTCAATTGTGGCAACCTTGAGAACTTGGCCCGTGAGTTCTTTGTAAATTTCGGCTTGCGTTGTTGAGAAATTCTTTGTTACCACCAATCTCTCCCCCTCATTCCAATAGCCAAACTATGTTGAAAAAATAACGCTAGCATATAACTTCATATAATCAATATTCATTATATCTCCAATTAAATAATATGAAAGAGCGTAGTATGTATCACTAAGATAAATTTTGTTACTTAAAGAGGCAAATAACTGAAGCGGCGTATTGCCATCAATAGAACTCACGAATTCAATTCTACCCAGCTCAAAGTCAACGATCAGAATAGTTAAGTCTGACAAATGGAGAGGGTAGGCTAATTCTGGTCCCCCCACCAGAAAGGATCTATGGTACCACTCATCAAAAAACACTTCCTTAGCTATTTTGAAATGTTCCAACTCCACACATTCAAAATTCAAATTAAGTGAAAGCTATTTTGATGTTAAATTTGTTAATTACTCAAGGTATTGTGCTTTCTTGTAAATAAAATTGACGAAAATTAATTTTTTGCTGTAATCAATAGTAGCCTAAAATAATGATCAGAGTCTTCCACTTTATGTCCTACTCACTTCCAGAGTTCCATCTTGGCTCAATTCGAGAATGGTTATGTTTGTGTTCTTCCTTCGACCAGTTGAATCAAACTCGACGTAACCTGTGTACCCTCTGAATTCGTCCCCCTTGACCTAGAGAAAGAGGGAGGGAGAAATGATTAAATTAATCAGTCAATGAATCAAACAAAGTCATACCTCTGGATTAAGCTGTCACTCGCTCAAGAACTATAGTCACAACTAGGAAAGCACATTACTAATTACATCTCCCATTCTTCCCTTCTCGCCTTCTCCTCATTCAACAAAACAAGGTATTAGAATGAACTCTCGAAGGCCACATTTCAACACCACATTGTTGGCAATTCATTCGAAAATTTTCATCGAAATCTTTGTTACCGGCGTTTATACCAACAACTAACTGGATTTATCATTGTGGCAAGGTCAACCAGACTATATCAACAAATAGGGCATCTCTAGAAAAGGTTTTCTCGATTTGGGCTAAAATCAATGAAAAAAGCTCTTATACAGCGCTCATTATTGAATAATCTATAATGCATTGTAGAAGATGTACAAAATGTACTACTACTTTCAAAATTTTGCATTTGCAATTATTGAGCACCCATTTTGTCGATATCATGCAAGTCTTATCTTAAATTAAGCTCCACCACCGTCGAATCAAATACCTGCTGTCCATCCTGTGGTAATAGGTGTCGGATGAATTACAGTGCATCTGGATTCATTTATTAATCAAATAATGAAGATGAAAACAACACAACCTACTGATTTAATTTCAGTCACCAAATCGGCACCTTGAGGCCAAATTTCATTAGATTGGCACATTATAGGATTTGGCGGGTGAATTGAGACTTTGCTGGCTAGACGGGAGATCCCATGTGCCAGAAGATTCAGCGAGTCCAAAATTAGGAAATAGTACGTCTAAAATTCAAAAGACGGACGTTAGATTCGTGACATTTTGCACTGAACTCTATCTGAAATGATTAAATAGGAAATTCGCTACTTTATAAGCCATGACCCCTGACGTCGCTTCTTACCTCTGTTCTTCTTCCTTCCAACTCACATTGTGTCATGAACATCACTTCGGGCAGAGAATAAGTATTTTGATGAATACCTAATGGGGAATCGAAATTGTGTCATCACTCTCCTTAAATTTCCCTTACATCGATGGATGAGTACTTTATGCGTTACGTCACTATCTGCGCATAAGGATATGGATAGAGATTGTTCCCTCTCCCGTCTCTCTAATTTACCAAAAGTATAAGCTCAATTTAATAAATTAATTGTAGGGGAAATAGCGTTTGACCATGACCTTGACACAGAAAGCATGAAAAAATAGGTTCAAGGGGTCATTTGAGATTTTGACTTTTATTGGGCTTGCAACTTAACCACTGCATTGGTATCACATGTACGCTTTCACTTCTTCAATAGTAAATTATTTGTTTGAGTGCATGGATTATTGAAGGTCAAATTTCAAATCCACATATCGCTGCAAATTAAGAGTTCGAAAAACAAAATTAATAGAAGCATAAAGGAATATGGCAGAGATTTAACTAATCTAGTGACAGTAATTTCATTGAAAAAAGAAAATTTTTTAAATACTCATAACACATTGCTAGGAAATTTCCAAACGGACATAAAATGAGTGGATGAACATATGGGCCTTTTATGTTTGAAAGGCTTTAGAAGAAAGACGACATTTAATTGTGGTTAATTTTCGGTTTAAAACGCGTGTTTTTACTTAAAATTCACCATTTCGATAAAGGGAAAAGTTTTCGAGGTCAAAGAAGCAGGAATTTATGCAAGACTAGTTTAATTAAAAGAATAGTCGGGGGTAAATTCCATGGAAATGTGGAGATGGAAATTTTGGTGAAAATCAGTGGTTTTGGTCACCAATTTAACAGAATGAAACCTACTTTCAACCCATCTTTACTTGGACAAACGGTTAGAGAAAGGTGAAATAGTGAGAAGGGTTACTTGAGAGGGAAGAGGGCGTGGGAGGTGTATGTGCATGTGCTGGAAGAGGATAAAGGTAAACGCCATATACAGCTAAGACATTTTGTGAAATTCAAAGTTTGAATGAGGGTCTCACGCGTAAGGTTTAAAACTATGTAATTGTTTTAACATTAAGTTTTGCAGTCATTTTCCGGTTGGCCATGATAAAAGTGCCCCCCCCCCCTGTGAACGCAGAAAGGTCAATAGATAGTAGATTTTCACTTAAAAGTAGTATATGCAGAATACTATGAATAATAAATCACTGACCATGCAGTGGTTTACTGCAAGTGTTGTTAGCGTTCATCAACTCAATACTTCTCAACATGCCTCTTGTTTATGCGCGCTTAACTATCTTCATGATTCTACTTTTCACTTATTTCGATATGCGCCCCATCTCTCTCTTAGCCATTAAGACACGCATTGATTCCCCCCTGTTGTCAATCTTCCCTACATTGCCCTATGCCCCACTACTCGATCAAATTTGGTTTTATTCAATTACTCCTATTCGTTCCCGCTCAGCTCACCAGATTTTTCCCCATCAAGTAGCTCTAAAGCTCGAATCGTTTCCCTACAGCCTGAAATGTGAGTAGTAGGTTCTTTGGAAGTAAAGCATGCTGACGTACCAGACTTTGTTGGGAAGTGGAGTAGTGATCTTCAGGCTCCTGAAATGGATCGAAGTCAATGCTGTCCGTTAACGAGGTATGTTGATCATCCTCAGATGTTTGATAATTCACTCGAAGTATGGGCAGTAGAGAGAAGGCTGTGAAATTCGCGCCTTTATCCACATTAAATGCTGCTTGATCGGTGAATTGAGTATCCTAAGCGAGGAAAGCAAAATGAAAATGCAAATTTTTTTAAAAATAATAAGAAACGAAATGAAAAATATATCAAAATAGCCTTTTAAATGGTCTGAATTTGCATAGCTTGTGTTCCAACCCTCTCCCCATTCGATTCTTTTTATTGTGGTTTAATAAAAAAATATTTGCTTGACTGCAAAACTACATTGCCAACAAGCTTGTCTGCCATGACAGAGTTCAAGAGTTCGTTTCTCATCGATCCACACCCAATTAACGAGGGTGCCAACGGCATTGATTAAGTTTAGCTAGCTGACGGAAGTGGCCAAATTTATTTATTTATTTATTTCAAATGGCAGGCGATATGGTAGTTGTCATTAGCCTTTTAATGGACCTTGGGCTTCAGAGAGAGGAGGGGATGCATCAAAGTGACAAAAGTCGAGAGGGGGGGGGAGAACAGAAGAGTGTTTCAAAGATTTAAAAGAGACAGACAGATACAAAGGCAGAGAAAAGGTGAGGTGAGTATTGTGAAAATAGTCGAATATGGCAAACAGTCGGGTCATGGTAGTTTGAAGTCAGAAGTCAACTGCAGATTAATGGATGTTTTTTGCCCTAAGAGTTCACGCTGCCCAGGGCGCACCACGTGGAAGTGAGTCTATCGCACACCCTTTGGGAGTGGCAAAATTAGAATTGCTCTTCATGAAAGGTCTCCACGATGATACTCCTTGGCCCTAGGTGGGTGATGGTAAATGCATTCATACTCCAAATACTTAAAATTAATAAAACTTCGAAATACGCCGTTATCTTAGCAATTAAAGATGCCCCATTTGCCATGGGATTTAGCATGGTACAAGAAGTATGGAAGTCATTGCACTTATGGGAGGCAATAGTGCCGATGACATATGATTTAATAAGCCGTGGTAAATAAAGTTGGCGCGTAGAGATCAAGGGACAGACGATTCAGCTGGAAGTGAGACTCTGGCATAATTCATTCCAACAATCAGAAATATGCATAGATTAACAATATTTTAAAGATAATAATAAGCGGAAAGCCTGTCAAACGCTGATTTTGGCTACCTCCGCGTCATTATTTTCCTTTTGGCCCTCATTTACAAAATAGGTGGTGGAAACTAGTATATGAATGTCAAACAGGGAAATGATATGTGGGCACGTGCTTTGGTAGTAAAACATTTTCTAAGTGCATGGCACCACATTTTAACATAAGGCATGAAGAATACTGAAGAGTTCGCACTTTATTCATAGCACTGGTGTATGAGATGTACTCCACATGATATTCCAATCAAATATTTTTATAACAAAGGAAAGAAGACGTTTCTAATTTGTGCTTTTCTTGATATATCTATATATAGACTTACCCCACGTGGTGCACCCTGGGCAACGTATACTCATACTGCAAAAAAGTCTATTAACTGGCAGTTGACTTCTCACTTCAAACTACCATGACCCCACTGTATTTCATGTTCGACCCTTCACAGTACTCATCTAGCCTTTTCTCCGCCTTTGTGTCTGTCTGTCTTTTACATCGGTGAATCGCTCTTCTTTTCCCCTGTTGAATTCTTCTGACTTTAGTGTTCCTCCCTTCTGTGAAGCCCAAAGTCAACTAAAGGGCTAATAATAACTATCAAAATGCCTGCCATTTGAAATAAATAAATATATATATATATATGTTCATGCTTTGTTTAATCCTACCATAAACGCCTTTTGAGTATGATCGGCTTCCTATTTTTGGCCAATTGATTCCCATCTATCTATCTATCTATCCAAACGTTATAGTTCGTCCAATCAAGGAAGATTTTCCCGAGATCACCTTGATCTTCAATTTATTCAAACATTTCCTCAATCGCATTCGTGTCTATACTTGTGTGATAAACAGGGCGAACAAAACTACACAGAAAAGAGGAGATACCTCAAACCAAATTTTGAGTTTGGGAAAATTAAAACCTGTTTTATTGTATTATCATTTCGTTTTATGCTAACCTAGTTAAATAATTTTATTTTAAATATGGGGAAGAGTGGGGGGGGGGGCGAGGGGTTTAAGATAAAATAATTTAAAATAAAACAGGACCTTTGTTCTATAGAAACTTCAGGACAAAATCTTTGTCGTCTAATAAATCTAATATTCACGTATTCTGTGGAATTAGTGCACTGACCCTATAGTTTGAACCACCTTCTATGAGGACTACCTGAAAACATGGGTGTAAGATGGTCAGGATTCAATTTAGAGACGAAATTATTTGATTACCCAGGGTTCTGGTTTAGCTATTTACCTAGTCATTTCAAGCCACTTTCACATTTACAATACATTTTCTTTGGTATTTGGAGGCGTAAATGAAGTGCCACATCATCGGTGGAAAGGAGAATACTTTTTTTGTAGTGTGAAAAGATGGCAGAATTTTGCACTTACCCAATCGGTAAATATGTAACTATGGTATTGATCCGTCATGTTATATTCTGCGATCTAAAATGATAAATGTCAGATATCAGATCCATCGGTATGAATTAAATTAATTCATATGGAATATCGCAAAGGCAGAGCGCTTACCAGTTTCAAGAATTCTTCTATTTCCGCCTTTGGGATGTCTACCACGAATCGACTCTGGGAGCTGGTGGTCATGAAGTATTTGATGATATATTTATGCGATAACGCAGCGGTATTCAATCGACGAACAATCAAACTGCCTTTGAATTGAGAGAGCAACTTTTCATATTTCACAAGGCCTGAAAGGTAAGAATAAGGACTGGTTGATTTCCAAGTTAGAGCACAAGCACTATGATCACGTTAAAAGGGATATCATGTTTGAATACTGCCCTGGCCAACGTATACTCATACGGCGAAAAAAGTCAATTAACTGGTAGTTGAATTTTGACTTCAATCTACCATCACCCCACTGTATGCCATATTCGACCCCTTTTACAGTACTCATCTTACCTTTTCTCTGCCTTTGTGTCTGTCTGTCTGTCTCTGTTACATCTGTGAATCATTATTCTGTTCCCCCCTCCTCTCGAATTTATGTCACTTTGATGTTCCTCCTCCTCTCTGTGAAGCCCGAAGTCAACTAAAGAGCTAATGATAACTATCAAAACGCCTGCCATCTGATATAAATAAGGTTGTCATATACGTTGGGGGAGAGAGAGCTTTATTAGAAACCGTAGCTTTGACCTCGGACAAGCACTTTGTCCTGAACCTAAAGAGTATGCGAAGATGCGGAACGATTTCTCAACTTAAACCAGTTGACCTCATTAAGTGCCTTTTTAACTCAGGGTCAAATTTAATTTAACAAGGATTTTTGCTTCCTTAAACTGCATTTTACTTTTTAATCTTATTTACTTAAAAAAAATCACAATAGAAACACATATCGTCACACCGGGGTTAAAGGCTCGTTTCTACCAATGCGAATTCAGGGAGTGGAATGACCAATCACAATTCTAGTAACTAGTAACGCACCCTGATGATACCCTTTCTAAACGGGATTGGAAATTGTCCTACTCACGGTACTCATGTCATCTTCTGGACCTTAAGTGACTAGAAGATTATTTTGATTAAAAGACTCAAACTTGCTTAAAGGTCAAGGAGACTAAATGAATCTTCAGGGATAAATCGCAGTTAAGAGATGGAAAATAGGACTTAATGATGTCAAATAAGATTGTTTTATACAAATATTTTGGATTTGACCTCAAATTTGTCATCTGGACTGGGTTCCATTCACCTCCATTTTGCCCTTACCGGGACAAAAAACGTAATGTAGATACTTCAAACTGAATGGACAATTCAATCCTCCAAGTGGAAACGGATAGCCTTGAGTGATTTCGAAATTCCTCAACAAGCCACAAGTACCCGACAAAGTTCCAGGGACCCAAATATGAATACTGCAAAGGGTAATTAAATCCCCTTAAGAAAATTGAGTTTGACATCTAACTCTCTTATATGCATAGTCACCTGCAGGTGTGTGGTATAGGCTTACCTCCACGTGGCGCACCCTGGGCAATGTATACTCATTAAAAAAGTCTATTATTCGGCAGTTGACTTCTGACTTCAAAGCGGCAAAAACGACAATTAACCCCCAGTTGACTTCTGACTACAAACTACCATGACCCCACTGTATGTCATATTCCACCACTTCACAGTACTCATCTTACCTTTTTTTCTACCTTTGTGTCTGTCTGTCTCAGTTACATCTGTAATTCACTCTTCAGCTCCCCACCCCTCGACTTTTTGTTACTTTGATGTTTCTTCTCCTCTCTGTGAAGCCCCAAGTCAGCTAAAGGCCTAATGATAACTATCAAAACGCTTGCCATTTGAAATAAATGAATATTATCGGAATGCCATCCTAAATTTTGACATCGGATTTAGTGGGAACTCTTCAAATGATCGTTCCTAAAGAACAGCAACATGTGGTCTTCTGTCGAACAGAGGAAGTGACTATTTCCAAGCCGTGGACCAAATCTCTCTACTTTTTCAGAATAACGCCTTGTTTACTACCTTGGTGAATATGCAGAAATGGCCTTTCTTTAAATTCTACCTTCTCATTAACCTTGAAATTTGAAATTTGAGCGAATAATATGGATTATCGGTTTGTTTTATGATCGGAGCTAGAATTTCAATGGAATTTCGACCCCCACATCATTCTCCTCAAATTCAGCCTTCGATTTCGCAAAAGACAATTGTATGAAAGATTACCGAGAATTCTTGTTTTCAGGTAGACTTTGCAAATAAATCTAATTTACTTTAATTTCATTTTCACCGACCAATTGAATTCTCTTAAACACAAATAATAATAAATAATTTATGAATGTTCCATTTGTTTCGAGTGAATTCAATCACCTGTCAACCTACTTTGTCAAACAGTACCAGCATCTGTCAAATGGAAGATTGACAGTACTTCGATACTTTTTTGACACAAGGCTCTTTCAAAATTCAAACCAGCGACCAATCGCGTTAAAATCACATTAGTTAATATCACACAGATTCATACAGAAAGTTGCGGATCACTTAAATAAATCGGCCAATATACGAGCTCCGATTGGTTGTCAAATAATTAATAATAATAGTATTCTAAATGTGGCGATAATCGAATATAAGATTATGTTTGCAAGCGGCTTAATTCGAAACTTTGAAGTTTAGCTTCAACTATCCGATCGGCCTAGGAAGTTGTGTGAAACGTTAATGGAACATTGACGGCACAGCCAAGGCTTGTTCACGATCATCTGTGAGGAATTACACTTTACGTTGAGGGTAACGAACATTCTTCGGATTTCAGCAAATTATATAAATTATAAATACCTTATTTCCAAGCGTTGTTAAGTTGTTGAAAGTGTTTAAATGTTTAACTCAAAATCACCCCAACATGTATAGCACGAATCATTTTAAAATAAATTACATAAAAAATTTGCAATAATTCAAATTTAATAAGCGCTTAAGAAACTTTGCCAATCAAGGAGAAACGAAAAAGGAAATCTGCAAACTAAAAATCACCATTTATAGATTGCACTTGTTTTTTTTAAGAAAAAACAAAGGCATTCGATGCAGACAAAAAGGTGGTCTTTGATAGATAATGTTTTCCAAAGTGCTGGGCAAAAACTTGATTTGGGGTTTTCCTGAACTTCATGGACTTCAGTACGCCTGAACTGTATCCAGCACCTTATAGAATTTAAATTATAACCACATGGCAATATTTCCTCACAAAGCAATTTACTGCAAATTCAAACTGAGTTGTAATCAATATTGGCTATTGGAAATCGTATAAAAAGTTCGCGTGGAATAGCAAGCGTGGACATCAAAGTGCAAATGATTCGCATAGAGGTATGACACTAACGTTAACGATGCCCTTCTCTCAAGCCAGAGTGGGTAAAGGAATATGGACGCCGCAGGACTGACGCAGAAGGTTTTAACCAACGAAGAAATTTATGACATTACAATAATGGAGCTACGAATTGTGTGTGCGATAGACTTACCTCCACGTGGTGCACCCAGGGCAACGTATACTCATACGGCAAAAAAGTCTATCACTCGGCTTTCGTTATATTCATACGGCAAAAAGTCTATTAACTGGCAGTTAACTACGATAGACTTACCTCCACGTGGTGCACCCTGGGCAACGTACTTTCTTACGGCAAAAATTCTATCACTCGGCATTCGTTTTTCAATAGACTTACCTCCACGTGGTGCACCCTGGGCAACGTATATTCATACGGCAAAGTCTATTAACTGGTAGTTGACTTCTCCGCATACGGCAAAAAAGTCTATTAACCGGCAGTTTTCTTCTCACTTCAAACTACCATGACCCCCCTATATGTCCTACATTCTCATACGGCAAAAAAGTCTATTAACCGGCAGTTGACCTATGACTTCAAACTACCATGACCCCACTGTATGTCGTATTCCACCACTTCCACAGTACACACCTCATCTTTTCTCTACCTTTGTGCTTGTCTGTCGCTAATACATCTGGGAATCACTCTTTTGCCCCCCCCTCTCGAATTTTTCTCACTTTGATGTTCCTTCCCCTCTGTGAAGCCCGAAGTCAGCCGAATGGCTACTGATAACTATTCAAAACGCCTGCCATTTGAAATAATAATAATGTAGCTACGAATTGAGAGAAAATAATTCTGTCACATTTTGTCGCCTTGACCTCAACCTGCAGTTTTTAGACATCCACAAGGTAATGACAATTGCATTCAAAATTTCGATCGCGATGTCACCGGCTAATCCTCTTCCAGACAATGGTAAAAATGGGAGACCGATGACGAGATTTATGTCACTGCATAGGGCACATTGTTTAAAGAAGTTAAATTAATTTCAAAGAACGTTAATTTCAAGCAGATAGAGAGGGCGAGAGGGAGAAGTGAACAGCATTGCGTGAGCAGGATCATAAGAAATTATGCGGGAAGAGACCACCTAGAAAACTTTTTATATTCAAATAGCTTAGAGATTCGTCTAGAGACAGCCGCGCTGCAATTATGCCATCTGGCGCTGATGCTTTCTTTAATCTCCTGACTGAATAATCGTGGGCGTGAAATCTGATTGGGTTTCAGGCAAGATGCCGAATTAGGAAATCAAATGAAGCGGGACTCTTTTAATTTCCTTGGCCCCTCTCCCGCCATTTTTTAATGAAACTATTTACTTTTTATTTGGAGTGTGCGATAGACTAACCTAAACGTGGTGCACCCTGGGCAACGCATACTCATACGACAAAAAAGTCCTTACACCGGCAGTTGACTTCTGACCTCAAACTACCATGGCCCGACTGCTTGTCATATTCGTCCACTTACACTGTACTCACCTTACCCTTTTTTCTATTCTTTTGTCTGTCTGACTCTTTTACATCTGTGGAACACAGTTCTGTTCTCTCTTCCCCCCCCCACCTGTGAAGCCCAAAGCCAGCTAAAGAGATAATGATCGCTATCATGAAGTCTCCCACTTGACATAGAGTTACTGTTTCTCTTAACTGGTATGTCAAAACGACCTGGTATCTCTGATAACAGCGAAGACTTACTATCATCATGCGAATATATGAAGCCGAGTTGCGGCCACTCTTCGGCTTTATGGAGGAAGTCCACAAGAGCGTCACCAACCTCGTTGTGGGTGGGATGTAAGTTGATGGTGTAGTTGAATAATCCACTGGCACTATTGTCGCCATATTCATCCGCCACATCGTCCAAAATTTCCAGGGGATTCCACTGGGCTAGAAAGTAGGGCACTTGGTGGGTTTGGCAAATCCACTGCGACTGCGCCGATGTGGTCGGACTGTCTGGACCAAATATTGCCACAACCCCTTCAGATAACAGCTGACATGCTGTGCAAAAAAACAAACAAATTTCAATAAAATGCGATAAGTTGTAAGATAAGGTTACGGGTGAGGTACACTCGGTTGAAATTTTCCGGATCTCCTTAAAATACTCGTTAAATTCCAATTGTTTGGTTTATGGTTTTCTTCGGAACAACCCCCCTCCTCCTTCTTAACCGGTAACGAGAATGCTATTTATTTATATCGAATGGCAGGCGTTTTGATAGTCATCATCAGCCCTTTAGTTGACTTCGAGCTTCATAGAGATGAGGAGGAACATCGTAATGACAAAAAGAGTGTTTCAAAGATGTAAAAGAGACAGACACAAAG